ACAGTCGATGGCTGCAATGCAAGCAGCGTGCTGGGGGAAGGGCGACTAGTCTGTCCCCTTTAAAGAGATTTTTAAAGAGTCTTGATTAGAAAGTATAATGAGATACCAAAGACACAGCAAAGATGATCTCTCTAGAGACTGATAGAAAACAAATTAAGATGTGCGTTTGTTTTCTTATTATTATTTTATCTGAAAGCTCAGGATACCCTTAAGGCACAGGAGTTGGACTCACTACCATGGTCTTTTTTTTTTTTTCCCTGACATATTTGAATAATACAGATTTTAATCATGTCAGCACACAATGCTCTGATCCCTTTAACACCAAAGCCTTCCAGCACTGCACATGCATTTGATTTAGAAAATGGCACAGTGCGTGAGCTAAAAACTGGGTGCATTCATCTCTTAAGTTTGCAGCTATATGTGTGTGTGTGTGTGTGTGTGTGCACATGTGTGTGTGTGTGGAATATTTAACTCTGAGTCCTGAAAATCTGTCTCACCATGTGGGTTGTTGGAAAAATGTAAGCCTATATTCAGAGTGAAACTGCATTGTGAAATTAATAATGTAATGCCATTTTTTTTTTTAGCATTTAGTTTGCATCACACAAACAAATGCATTCACGTGTGACTTTCTACACAGTGAATGATTTAAATTGCAGCAGAATCGGGGATCATACCTAAAGGAAGTGTAGCATTTCTCGTCTGACATAAAATGGGAGTGCATCTAGAATGGCTGGTCAGAGAGCAGCCTGCATTGCCTTTGTTTTCCTCTGTTAATTGGAGCATGTTCCAGGATAGTGAATGGGGGGGAGAAACATGAGACTTCCAGGACCAGGACATGAGAAACAGATGCTCCATATTTCTGTGTACAGACACCTTTTCTGGGAGACATAGGATCATGAATAGAGGATGGGCTCAAACAGAAATAACTGATACCCAGCAGAATCTGAAGGCAAAGGAGACGCAGGGGTTTGAAGCTGAAAAGGCAGAAATAAGGTCTGACCTTTATGTAAAATCATTTTTACACAAAGGCCAGAGTCAGGGCTCCTTTCTAAGTATTTACAATGCTACATTTATGAACTAGACAGGGGTTTCATTTTTGCTCCATTTTGTATTTTACTGGCACATAATTTGATAATCTTCATGCTTGATGAATTTATGTCTCGTGTTCCAGCGTGGCTCTCATCTTTATTCCATCTGCCATGCTACTGTACGCCCTATCTTATTCATGCATACCAATGTCCATTTTAATTAGTCATTTCGGGTCAGTGTCGACCTTTCTCTGCCCCAAGCAGTGGTGTGGCAGATGTGTGAAGGAAATTCATCTGCCTTTATTTTAGTGGAAATAGGCCATTACAGATTTTTTATGCCACTCTGTGACAATAAAATACATTTATTCCAGGTAAACAGAAAAAAAACAAATGTTTGAGGGAAGAAACAGGATGAATTACATGTGTTGCAATCTGTTTGCAAAAACTAACAGTTCTATGACTCAAAGGGGTGATCAGAAATTCAATTAAAACCCAACTCATTATTTTTAAAAATGTAATTATTATAATTACCATAATTGCCTGTGCAAGAAAGCCTTTTTTTTGTGCCTGTGAATACTTCTCCTCACTGAAAGGAGCAGAACACTTCTCCGTAACTCAGCAAACAATTACTGTGCAAGTTCAGCAGACCCTGTACAGACTGATAATCAGACTGAAATAATTCTATTTGAAATTCTGAAAAAATAATGTCTTTTTTTTTACATTATTCAGGAAAAAAAGCAGCGATTCAGCCTGAAACCAAGCTACAGTGTGTACACTGTGTGAAAAAAGGGACATGTACAACCACACTCCAGGCTTTCTAAATGCATCATCCAGAGTTCCATTTATCTGAACAGTCTGCTTGTGTCTCTAATAAATTATACTGCGTTGCATATTCATGAGAATGAATCACTCTTTGCTCTTATGAAAAGTGGTAAATTTAAGTTTGGAAAATAAATATCTGCTGCAGTTTAAGTCAATTTGAAAGACACGATCTGTACAGATGAATGAATCAATAGTATTTGTCATTTTTAACTATTATTTTTTGACACTATCAGCTTCTTTTACCCCAAACTGCACCGTTTATACAGTTGAAGTTTTCTACTCGCTGCTATATCACAACCTTTCAATCCCTGCAGGACTCATAGTAGGTTGTGTTTTGACTTTTGGTTAATATATGTGAGCCTCCGTTTAAGAGAGTCTCTTTTCAAATGTCATTACGCCCTAAATTCCAAAGTGTTAAGTTACAGTTTAACATCTCCAACCAAAAACAGCAAACACATATCCTCCAGGGCACCAATCCCACAGTTTACACTGCAGCACAAAGGTCCCGACCTGCAGGTTAACGGTCCCATGCTGCTGTTTTCACCGTCTTCCTGCATCACGTGTTAATTATTGCCGACCACAGCGAGGCCAGCTCTCTTAATCAGCAAGAGGACTTGGCTCAGAGACAAGATAAGCTTTCTTCAACTTCACAGCACTAGTTATAGTCGGCCTGTTAAACCAAACCTACTTTGCATTCGAGTTTTTGAATGTATTACCTCTAAACTTTCCTTGGAATATTTGAACTGGTGGTATCATTTTATAGATTATTGTCCAACAACAAATGTACCAAACTGATCGTCATCCATGTTTCTCATTCATTTCTCTGCAGTGACAAGGACAAACACTTGACAGAAATGTGTTTCACTGTCCCACCTGGTGGCCAAATCTAGAAATTACCAAAAATGTTAAGAGGGGAATTAAGGCTATTGTCTGATTCTCTATTAACATTCTACATCCGGAGATGTTGGTCCACAACCGCCTTTGTGAATTCATCAACAAATGTTTAAACATCTAAAGACAACAGAACCAACAAAGAGGCCTCTGCAGCCAAGATTAGAAGAGATTTTCTTTGATGAAGCTTTCTTGGAAGTCTAAAATTAGATGTGCATGAAAGCGGTGGGGGGAGAGAAAAAAAAAGAAAACAGATATCCTGCTGACTTCTTTCAGTTCTGTTTCATCTTGGCCCACACTGAGATGTTAACAGAGCCACTGGACCTTTAGAGAGAGTGACACTTCAGATGACAGTGATTTAGATATCCTTTCAGAACTAATTAGACTCTATCCCCAATTTTGGTGTCCTAATTCATCTTTTTTTGCCTTAATTATGCATTGACATATATATATAGAAGGAAAGTTCTATGTAGATCACACAGAACCGAGAGGAGTCGGTCCTTTTTCTCAGCATGCAGCGCTGGACAATCTAAGACTTTAAGGTTGCATTCTATTAGAAATACTTCCTCGTACTGCCTAGTGGCCCTTTTTGACTTGGATTAATTATATAAAAGCAATAAGGTCCCTCTTACAGTGAAACATATTTTATTACGAAAGCACTCAAGGCCTCAGATCCTGCCAAATAAATCTCATATATCGCACACTTTGAGTTAGTTTTTATTGCAATTCAGCCCATCAATCTACACCCAATAACCCAAAATGACAAAGTGAAAACTTGTTTTAATTTGTGCAAATTTATTAAAAATGATCAATACTGAGATGGGTCACTTGAAGAAGTCGTCTTCTGCCATAAACTCAACACATAACCAACACCTGATTGTCTTGAATCATTTACAGGACAATTTATTTACAACTTTCTAAAAAAAATAACAATACCGAGATTGTATTTCACAGGGGAGCAAGAATACACTTTACACCCGAAAACACACACTTTGTCCTTTAACCACTTAAACAATACTAAAATGGCAGATGTGCAATGGATGGAGAGAATACAGCCACCTGAGAAACATCATCCAAATAATGTAGAAAGTTACTGGCTATAATGTCACAATAGAGCGGAGGCTGTATGCTTTTGGCAAACAAAAAATGTGGTTTAGAAAAACAACCATTGTGCCCAAACCAGTTGACCAAGCGCAGGGACATTGGTCAGGACGTCTCTGTAATACTAGAGCTAGTTTAGAACAAGTGTCAGGATATCTTTCATCAACAACATAAACTAGCTTTCTGCAGCTTGACCTCACTGGTTGCATCTACAGACTCTTGCTCATACTTTAGCTGGGCTCTTGTTTGGATTTAGCCATTTACAAGGTGTGTCAGAAAAGTTTCAGGACTGGTGTCACAAGAGAAAAGTAATCCCCCTGGAGTCTAACACACTTTCTCAGCCTTCTCTGCCACACCACCATGCACTCCTGGAAGGATTCTTTCAGGATCCTCCGCAGCTCCGTCGTCACGGCCATCTTGATGTCGTCCACGTCTTCAAAACGGGTCCCCTTGATGACACCCTTAAGCTTGGGGAGGAGGAAAAAATCCCTTAGAGCCAGGTGGGGTGAGTAGGGAGGTTGCTCCAGCATCGTGAGCAGGCGCGTTGTCATGGTGAAGCAGGCACAACTCGTCCTGCCACAACTCTCGCCTCTTCTGGCGCACTGAACGAAGCAAACGGGATCTCTTTGTAGACGTACTGGTTGATTGAAGGGAAAACTCATAGTTTGCAGTTTGAAATATATCTTTTGTGACACCAGTCCTGGAACTTTTCTGACACACCTGGTACATGCGTCTTTGATAGCTCGTGACTGGAGAAGTCCTGTTTGGAAGAATACTGGCTAAAGAGACTCTCCTCTGATTTTATAAATAAAGGTCAGCATGCTCATCATAGTTGTATAATCCCCCCCTCGTGGCTTTCTAAAGTCTTAAAAATAACCCTCATTAGGTTATCAGGTTATTTGTTTGACAGAGAGCCTGTGTTAGGAGCTGGAGCTGAGGAATCATGACCAGACAGGGAGCGACTAATGAAAACATGATTGGTTGCGTTACGTGAAATGTAGAATCCAGCATTTTTACATAATTGATGCTAATCATCACAAAATCCTCAATCTCTACTGCAGACAATCACCTTTCTTATTTTAGTCTCCCTCTTTTAACTGCCCCACATTTGCAGGAATGTGAGTCACTATAGCAGTCATATAATCCCTTACTCTTTGAAAAAAAGCAACAGTAAGTTTCTTTTAATACGCAAAAGAGAAATAGCAATCCCAAAAGTTATTGAAGCATTGTGTAGTGTCTGATATACAGTCTAACCTGATGTTACACCCAGTGACAGGTGATGAACACACACCAATCTGTGAAATGTACAAATGATTCTTTGTTAGTGCAAGTGATAAAAAAAAGCAGAAGAGTGAAGGGGTTAGTATCAGAGTAAGATTGGCGTCAGTTTTCTCCCAATCACACTACACTATTCTGAGTCATTCCATTGACACGTGTTAACCCAAAACTGCTCGAGTAGTTGTTCTAAGAGTGGACTTCTCTTTGCAATCAACACCCACCCAGTGAGGAGGGCTTGGTGTTCCCTAACGTGGAAGAGAGCGAGAGTTCTCTTATGGCGTGCTGTCGGTCTCCTCGGCCTCCACCAGGCAGGACTGGTCCGTGTCCAGGACTCGGAACGGAGGGTGGTACTCGAACGCCGTGAGGATGGTGGAGCCGAGATTGTGCTTCTGATGCAGAAACCAAATAACTGCGGAGACTCCCACGATAGCCACCACGCTGAGAATGACCAGGGCGGAGAGCAGCGCACTGGGTTCTGAAGCGGGACAAGTAACAATGCAAGGAAGGTCACAACTGTTCACACAGAACCACAAAGGAATAAGCAAAGAAACGGTGGAGAGAAAAAAAAAAATCTCTTAGGTTGACTTACTCGGTTTGGCTTCCTCTTCTTTGGAGAAGCAAAAAAAAAAAAACAGAAAACACAATGTGAGGCAACAATACCAAACATATTTTGTGAAATTCTTGCACGTGCTCATAAATTATACAACATATTAAATCCATCAAGATAAATTCTACAAGTGTTGCATTAGAAAAAGACTTAAATCTTACTTTGTGCTGTTTCACAGACCACTCCATTCTCATAATCCTGTGTGCAGCTGACATTCTCCCACTTTCCAGTCTTGCTTTGCAGGGCCACGCATGTTTCCATGGGCATGAGGTCTGACGGAAAGGTGTTCTCCCAGTTGGTGTACGTCACAGGGTCCTCGCCAAACCACCTCATGTCGTCAGCTGGAAAGATGCACCAGTCAGTGAAAGAATACCATGACAGGTGATGTCAACATGTAAAGGTCAAACTGTAGCATCTCCTTTTGCTTTGGTATTACTTTAGAATCCCCAGAAATTACATGTAACTGTGTCACAACCCAAATATAAATATAAAGGAAGGGAAGATGTGCATTTTTCTCCTCAACAGCATTCACATTGAAATGTGATTCTGGGAGTTTAAGGCCTCTTGCTGCACCTCTCATGACAGCTTATTAAAAAAAATAAAATTCCTGAAACTGTGTCAGGATTTAAAGAGAAACATGAGTCACGATTGCCATACGAGATGTCAAAAGTAGCTGACACAGGCACAAAAAAAAAAAATTACCAGACAGTGTTTCATCGTCTGTACGTCAATCATGTCAGCGAGCAATGACCAAAAGACAGAAAACAAAAAAAGATTTAAAAAAATAATCAAATCTAAGACAAAAATCTTAACTCTTGAAACTTTACAAGGTCAAGAATAAAGTTTCACACTTATGTTTTAGACGGCACTAACAAGAGCTTCTAAAACTGTTCAGAAATATGTAGAAAGGTGCCAAATGATTGATGGATTTTTTTTTTACATACCACCTCTAAAAATGTTCTTTTCTGAAGCCAGCCAGCATGTTCTCACAGTCCTGTAATCACATGGTACTTACTGTTTGTGTCATAATACATTCCCAGCCACATGTTGACCTCTTCTTTCCACACCTCTGGGCTATATTTAATGATAAAGTCATTTTCCTCAGCACTCTGGACGGTCAAAAGCTCTACAAGAAACACAGCAGGTATGGCACCATGAGCGCACATGTGTTCAGAATATGACCCATTAGCACATTTTGTTTTCGACGAAACGTTTGGAAGTCAAAAGTCTCACGTACCAAAGCCTTGACAGAGGGTTTTTGCTCTGCCAAAAGTGTAGCTTTTGATAGTTTCTTCAGCTCCGTGGACAAAGTGGTAACATCTGCCTCCAAACGGCACCCAGGTGCGTCCGTCTCCAGGGCAATCTGAAAGAAAGAACTGGCACCTGACCAATAGTCCAGACCAGAAGTGTTTGGACAATTATATATATTTTATGCTCTTTATGCTTCAAGGTTTACACCAATATTAATGAAGAACTGCATGAACAGCACTAGGTATTTCAACATCCATCCATCATCTATACACCGCTTAATCCTCACTAGGGTCGTGGAGGACTGAAGCCCATCCGAGGGTGAAGGCAGGGGACACCCTGGACAGGTCACCAGTCTGTCACAGGGCTACACTTAGAGACAGACAACCAAGCACACTCACATTCGGTGTTCCTCTCGTACAGGGCAGGATTGCAACAACACATCATCAGTGGGGTAAAACTAACCTCACGACAATCTAAACCCAGCTCACGTTCCCTATTAGTGGGTGAACAATCCAACGCTTGGTGAATTCTGCTTCACAATGATAGGAAGAGCCGACATCGAAGGATCAAAAAGCGACGTCGCTATGAACGCTTGGCCGCCACAAGCCAGTTATCTCTGTGGTAACTTTTCTGACACCACCTGCTTAAAACCCCCAAAATGTCAGAAGGGATTTAGAATCACCAATTAACTTTGTGGGAGGAAGCCGGAGAACCCGGAGAGAACCCACGCTGCACAGGGAGAACATGGAGACTCCACGCAGAAAGATCCCGGGTGTCCTCACTGGGACACAAACCAGTGACCTTCTTGCTACGAGGCAACGGTGTTAACCACCGACCCACCTTGCAGCCCCCATTTCAACACATATTGCCCAAAGTTTGTGGGTCAAACAAACATACATACATACTACCTGATGATGTTCTTGCAGGTCTGTTTGCCTTTAGGCTGGTCGTTTGCAAGAAAAATGCAGCTCAGTGGGTGTAAGATCAGGTTAACCGGCTCAGGCAGTTGAGGATATCTGACCTTAGATCATGACCTGAACAATAAAATATTGTCCACTGAGTTTTGATCTGTCTGTCTGAACACACCACACAATGCTTCTGCCTTCATCCTGTCAGGTCCACACCCCTCCACGTTTAACAGATGAGGCGGTACTGATTTGGGTCCATCATTTTTAGAGGTTTCTTTTTGTCTCAACTGTCCATACAATGTCTTTTTTCCCCAGGACTCTACCAGTCTCTTCTTTGTATTTTTTTTTTCAAACTGCCATCTGGTCTTTTTGTTTTTGAGTCTCCCAAGGGGTTTGCAGTCATAAAGGGGGTTTTCTTCACCATGGAAATGATTTCCCGCTCCCCAACAACACTTGCGCTGCTCGGTCTACCAAGTTGTTTGTCGGTTTTTCTGGTTTTCCTGTGCACACCTGCTTTTTAAGAATGCACCAGACCGTTTTGGCAAACCAGGGACCAACTTTGAATCAGTTCTGGGTCTCGTGTGAGCTCCTCTGAGCGTGAACGGACATTAAAACAAAACATGTAGTCGCCAAGAGTTTAATTATATTGAACCTTTGCAATTTGGGCATTATGTGTTAAAACGACTATACATCCAATACAGTCCTTTCAGTATTGACAAACTCAAGTTAAGGCTGATACACGGCGCTTATAGGTTTAATTCAAACTGAATATTTAGTATCACGTCACCGCTCTTTAAAACCTTACAATCTGCACTCTATTTACTTTTTTTTTTTGCACTACTGTAGGTAGGTTTAAAAAGAAAATCAGAGACAAACATGAGCAAAACCCAACTTTGAAGCAGCTGCTACAGCTTTGCCACAACCACACACACCGTTGGTTAGTTTCAACTTGTGACCATTGTTCCTGTTTACCAATGATGGTGTCTGGAAATGGTGTCATGATTTTCTAGACGGTTCTCTTTGTGGTTTCCTTGGAATGGTTCACTAGGGATCAGATAGTTTCACTTCTTTGGGATCTATGAATGTCTAAGAAACAAATAACAGGTAGACTTTTACTGTATTTTACTACAGTACACTTATTTGCTTGTATTTTTACTTATATGTTGCTCTTGTTTTACATTATACTTATTATTTACTAGGCTTTTTAAAACCCTGAGTACCAATTTCAAACATGTAAATGTGAGCTGGCATGACAATAAAAGCTCCTTGAATCCTTCATAACGCTTTTCTAACTTGTGTGCACATTCAAATGCCAACACAACCTGTTATTCTGACACACAACTACCCAGAAATGGATCAATGACATTTGCATGATTTCTTTGCAAAATGGGCGTTATCACAAGAGCAAAATGCAAAGAGGAAACATTTTTAATATGGATCACTGTCATTGCAAAGAAAAAAAAAGTGTTTCGCAACACATGCCAGCACTTTAACCTGCGCTAGTCCACAAGTCGCCAACTGCTAAACAACAGTGTCGACATTCAGGAAAGTTGGGGACTGATCAGTAACCTTCAGGCCTGATCTGCTGACATGTTGAACGCTGCAGTAAACAAACCGAGGAGCGCACACTTTTACCGTAACACGGGCCTACGCGTAACGGCGCACGAACCACAGCCCCGTCTGTAAAAAAAAACACACTCATATATCGCGTTAATTCAGCTCAGAGGGAAGATCTCGACACTAACCTCCCGTCCAGGCCAGCTGCAGATGAACGCACAGCACGAAGGCACAGCACAGCAGCGATCTGAGATTATCCTTCCGAGACTCCATGACAGCGAACACAAGAAATCATGGAGCTCCAAACTAGTTTTCTGACTGTTGCTGCGTTCAAGTGTCAGTGAGAGAGAGAGAGAGAGAGAGAGAGAGAGA